CATCAATACCACAGAATTCTATTATAATTTATCAAACTTACTAACTAGGTTGTATTTGGGTCTAAAAAAATATGAAATTTCGAGCAGATTAAAGACACAACCTACCTCATTGAAATCTTTATTCAAAAGAAAGAAATGGTGCAAGGTATGTTAGAAAAGCTGAGAAAACCACTAGGGAGACATTCTGAGCTTCCGATCGGTTATTCATGTCATATATAGAAGTAAGTGTATATAAGGGAGCATTTTCAAAAATGGAAAGAGGTGAGTGGGGTACCACTGTGTTTGATTTATTACATGAGCATTATTTTAGCAAATAAAAAAGATAAGAGACTCTTATTATATACTATAGCTTGTCAATATCTGTAATTTGAGTTTCTAATTCGTATGAAACTATAGACTTAGTTAGTATTTTGACTTCACAAACATCTAATTTGAACCAGTGCTGCATTCAACATACCAGGTGACACACAAAATTCAATAATTTTTTTATTATTTACTTTTAAATTAACAAGTTGAGTAATGTATAGTTATAAAATCTGAATTATAGTCAACAGTTTGATACCAAACTTATTGACTACCACTAGACAACAAAAGAGGAATGAACGAAGTCTGGTAAGCCTCTGTGTCAGAAACTGTTGCACGGGAATTCATACCCTTAGAAAACAATTATTATTTTTTTAACCCCAGAAGAAAACCAACGAAATATCAGCAACAGGGAAAAAACAAAAAGAACACCAGAATACTTTCAAAATTTTACAAATGAAAATGACTCTTAATGCTTGCACTTTGTTTAGAAAAAATGATTATATTGTCTGCATACAGTGCTTATATACAGTACCTGCATAGGTGGCATGTGAGGGCCTGTGTAAAGTTTTGTAAATTAGATATTCCCGAGGGCAGTCGAGTGGGGTATAAAAGACTGGAGCAAGCAAACAAAATGTTTCAATGACAAAGAACAATGGAAGATGGAGAACGAGCTATATGTGGCAATGGAGGTATGTATTTTTAGAACAGCAGCATCTTCCACACAGCCAGAAATATCCAAAACATAACATCAGCAAATTTTAGCAATTTACTGACATTCCTTTATTTGTGATTGATGTGAATAAAATGGTGCAAAGGTCCTAACACTGAGCCATTGGGTACTGCATTTGTGCCAATAATTCAGTTTGATTCAACTCCATTCATAACAATTCTCTGCTGTTTTCCATTAAGCCATTTTTCTATCCAACAAGTAAAATTATCCTACACACCTACAGAGAAAATTTTTAACAATACTTTTATGTGGCACCTAGTCAAATACTTTCAGAAAATCCAGATACAACAAATCCACACCCTTGCTCTCACCTACATAAGCAGTAATCTCATCAGTGAATGTCAACAGATTAATAAGACACGATTTTCTCCTTGTGAAACCATATTACCTATTCAACAAAATTTCAAACTTAGTTAAATGAGCTTGCAAATCATATTTTACCAAACTTTCAAAAACTTTTCCCAGTACTAATATAACATTAATAGAGCTATAATTACCTGTACAATTTGTCATCTCCCTTACGCATCAAATCCTTAAGCTCCTTCAAAACCTTTGGAGTGATATTATTTGGTCCAGGAGCCTTACCATTCTTTAAACATCACAATTTTTTTAACAAGCTCAGAATTAATATGACTATCTTGTATAATTTTCATTTCAACTACTAGCAACTGTTCAGAATGTGGAATATTGTTTAAATCTCATTAGTAAAAAATTTATAATCCAGCTACCATTTTATAATAATTAAAAATGACCCTTTATTTCCCTCAAAGGCACTACTCCTATCCTAATATTTTGTTTACCTTTAATGTACTTAAAGAAATCCTTATTTAACTTTTACATTTTTAGCTATACATTTTTCATATACCCTTTTTGGTTTCCATATGTCCTGTTTGACTAACTTTCTTGATCTTCTACAATCCTCTAAGCCTGCTGTCAGAGTAGTCAATTTAAATTTCTTAAATTTATAATGTTTTCTTTAATTTTATCCTTTATACTCTTTGTGAGCTAACCTGATTTTTTACTTACAACCACTATTTTTTCTGTAAGGAACAGGACTATCTTGAATACCTAAAAGGTATTTAAAATTTTTTTTCACATTTGATCAGTATCTACAATTAATTCAGTTACCCAACTCACAACAGATAAGTCTTGTTGAATCCCTTAAAAATTAGCCTTTTTTAAATTTGTAACAAAAATCTCATTCCTGATCTCTGTATGCAGTAAAACATCAAACTTAATTGAGCAATGATGTTACCAGTCTCTGCTTTCTCAATCATTTTTACACCAGAAGTTAAAAAATCTAAAATAGCATTGTTCCTAATAGGTTTCCAGATCAATTAGTGAATAAAGCTACTCTGAATGGTGTCTAATAACTTGTCTATTTCATGGCTTGACTAACATTTCAAATCTATATGCCTAAAATCAGTTTTATTTAGTGGTCTGTAGAAAAATTTAACTAAAAGCCTACTCTCCTATATCCTCTAACAGAAACCCAATAGATTCAATCTCCTAGCTTCTATATTTGACATCCTTAACTTGAACAGGACAGGGCCATAGGAAATGGTAAAGCCAGTCAGACCATGTCCTGACCACTTTTTCATGGCATGTATAGCTGCAACTTGTGTATTAAACTTGCTTCTTTTAATTCAATACATTATGTTGTGTGTGCAATATTTGTAGTTAAATGGTTCAAGATTCAATCTCATAGCATAACATTTTCAGAGGTTTTCTGGGGAGCATGACCCCAGACTCCTCTAGAAATGTAATGGCCTGACCACTCCAAAATTGCTTCTTATGGCAATGACAGGATGCAACAAGAATTTTAATAAGCTAATTCTCCTTTTTTGTAGTATTACTATTACTCTATCCCTACTAACTAACATATAGCACTGTATTTCAAAGAAATTTCTGTAATCATAATTGTCTACATTTAAGCTATTTTAACCATATTTCAATCACCCCATTATATCAAAATCCTCTATTTTGACTAGAACTTTAAGTATAAAGTCACCTATTTTATTTCTTATAAGTTTATACTTCTGCTAGCATTAGAATAGTAACAATTTAGCCTACCCTTACAATGTAATGAAATTTCTGGTCGTGAATTTCATGTTTCATTAAACTGTCACATCGTCCTCAACTCTAAAGCCTCATGCTCAAGTCAACAACTGTTTCATCAAGGTATAAATTTTCAAATATTAGTACTAGCAGTAGTATCATAATCAATTCATATTTCAATGTTACAATCTTACAAATACAAATTAGTTACATTTCATTCTTTGTTAAATTAAAACAAATTACCATAATAGTTTTATTACACTTTTACAGTTCCCCTTGAATTTAAAGTACTTTAAATAGAAGCTAATTCTGCAAAATAAAGCTGTCAGTGCAAGCTAAAATTACATTCTCTAACTAGAGTTACTTCAACTTACCACAGATCGATGTTCATCACTAAAATTATATAAATTTCACGTCCAAAACTACAGTATAAAATAAAAGGGCTCTGCGGTTCAAAGTTGATTTACAGCAGCACCATCTACTAGTGTGGAAATTATATAGATGTATATTTGTATGCGTGTGTGTGTGAAGTCCAAGTTATTTATTACCCGAAAAAAAATAGAAATGCGAGAAAGCGAATAGTCAATAGTTTCTTCTAGTAAAACTAAAGTGTGCATTTTATTTTCAATTTCATTTTTCTTAGAATTAGCTGTGCAAGGGCACCCTCGCGGACCAAATGATCCCTTCTTATCTATTGTACTAAACTTTAAATGAGAGATGATCACAATCTACCTTGCAATCCTCTCTCTCCTGACAGAATACCTAATTATAAAATTGGTTATTTTAATGTGGCTGCAGTATTTACTACTTAATCGGAAATTCAGAAAATTAATGCTTTTTAAAGGAACAGTATATTCAAAACCAGAGAGCTTTCAGCTAATTATAAAACTAGAAATTTAGAAAACAACACAGTAAATAATTTACAGTTGTCGTTTTTGTAAGTCAATGAAAGTCAATGAAAAGTTTCTAAAGATTGACTAAAGTTACTCCTATTTTTTAAAGTGGCGATAAGAGTTGTCCTAGAAATTATAAGCCACTTACATATAAGCGTAGACAAGCTGCATTTCTTGTGTCTAGGGGCCGCATTTTTTAGAGAGATTTTTTTTTCTAGCTAAAATTTGAAATGTTTGGCAAAGTACAAAAAAGCTGAACAAATCATGCATATTGTTACGCCTCCGGTCGTTAGTTAATTTTCCGTAAAATTTCTTTCCGATGAAACTTTAGCGATACAAGTCCTTTTTTAAATAAAACTGGTTTATTCTTTTTGAGTACAACTTTGCAATACACTTAATTTTCACAGTCACGCTATAACAAATGCTATAATTCACAACGAACGACTCACGTGCTCGACTCAACAATACGTCTCTCTCTGTCCGCAGTTCAATTACACACATTGTTGCGGTCACGTCTTGACGGTCTTATATGGACAAGAATACCGAAATCTAGTAAACGCTCGAGCATTCACGAAATTCGAGAATATGACGTGTTACTAGAATCACGAGACCCCCGCTGTTGTAACACTACCCCTTCCTTAGTATTGTTCGTCCCAAACAATAGCCACTTACATTAAACCAATAAACAATTAACAATAACTTAATTAAATATATAGAATTTACAAACACAAAATTAA